TACACTGAGTGGCCAGATTATTATGACCACCCCATCAGTACAATGAAGTGAATTAGTTAAGCAAATAATAATAATAATAAAACCTTGAGAGTATTTGCTTAGGATGTTTTCAATATTCAGTATTTTTGGAAGTGTCAATGAAGTACTGATGGGGTGGTCATAATAATCTGGCCGGTCATAATAATCTAGCCAGTCAGTGTATATGCCCTTTTAAAGTGTTTGAACTTTTTACCATGTGTGTGTGTGTGTGTGTGTGTGTGTGTGTGTGTGTGTGTGTGTGTGATAACACTCATTTAAAAATTAAGAATTTATATGTACATGGTTAAAAATTAAAACAAAATAGACATGTATAAGAAGAAAAGTAGGTTCCATTCCCTAGAAATAATCACTGTTTATCAACTACTTGGATAACTTTATAGAAATTTTAAGCAGCACAAATGTGCACATATGGATTTATATTTTTTTCCTTTTTACACAAATGGCTCATACAAAACTCATTGTTTATAAATATCTTGATTTTTTATTTAACAATTTGTCATTTATCATGGACATCTTTCTCTGCCATCACTTACAGATCTATCTCATTTTTATTGCTGTATAATATTCTTTCATGTGCCTATATTATAATTTATTTACCATTCCCCCACTGATATACATTTAAATTGTTGCATTTTTTGCTGTTAAACCTTTGCTGTAATATAGGAGAAATTTCTGGTGATGGAACTGCTGAGTCAAAGGAAATGTACATATAATATTTTGATAGCTTTTGCCCTCCAAAAACACCCAAAACCACCAGTAAAAATTAAATTTGCCCCTTTAAATACTAGTAAAAACAGGAAATAAATTATCACAAAACTATAGCATATTGTTAGAAATTTAGAATTTCGTAAGCATTTGGCACACAAGTCGTTCTCTCAAGGGCCTACAGTTGATACAATTATATTGGAAATGGTAGTACAAACCATCATGAACTACTGCCAATAAAAATGCTTCACATCAATTTAAAGCTGTATTAAAATGGAGGTATTTGCTCTTTGCAATTATTTGGAACCAGAATGAAGATATATTACTGAAACAAACATGCCAATTTCCAACTAAGGCTAAATCCAATTCTTAACAGTCCACTGAAATTCACAATTTAGAAATTTAAATTTTGTAGACATTTTATAAACAATACAAAGACCATTTCAATATTACATATCTATTTAACTTAAAACATTCTACATTTATTGTCCCTAGTTTGTTTGTTTTTCCCCCAGTAATCTTTTTGCCTCCCAATCAATATTTTCTTCCAGGCATCCACCACCTTTATTATTTTTTACATTGAATTTATTGGGGTAACATTGGTTAACAACATTATACAAATTTCATGTTTACAACTTTATAATACGACATCTGTGTACTCTATTGTGTTCTCACCACCTGAAGTCTAGTTTTCTTCCATCACCTTGCATTTGACCCCCTTTAGTCTCTATGTCCTCCCCGCAACCCCCTTTCCCTCTGGTAACCACTATTACCTCCTTTTTCTTTCTCTCACCCATACACTAAACTTTGTGCATTCTGGGTATGTGGTACATTTTCTAAAGTTATAAGGATTATGCCCTCCTGGCATTGATGTCTTCAATGATGAGGATCTCATTTAGAGGAGCCCTGGTGAACACAGGCAGGTGAAAGGGCATTTCTAGTGTGCATCAGCTCATGCTCTACTGAAGCATAAAGAGCAGAGGCATGCTGAAAGAGCCAATAGAGTGAAGCAGTTCTGCTACCCACAGCCCAAGATGAAAGGCCACTTGCTGTTCATCCCAGACATTCATTCATTCACTTTTGCATTCATTCAGTAAATATTTGTGGAGCATGTACATGCCAGGAACTTTGCTAAGTGTTGGGCATACTAGGATGAACAACTTGATTCCTGTACTTCTGGCATTTAGATTCTAATGATAGAGACAGTCATTAATCAAAAGTAACATAAATTTGAAATAAAAAATTGCTACATATTCAAGTCCTTGTAACAGAGTTCCATCTAGCCCTCAATTTTTTTATGAGAAGCTTTCTTTAAGAAAATGTTTCTTTGAAGATCATTCAAGTGATACATGCTCTTCTCTATATAGACATATACAGAATAAAATGTGAAAGCCCTTTTTTCTTTCACCATTCCATTCCCTTCCTTACAAGAAATAAGTGTTACGTTTGTCTGTATCCTTTGGGGGTTTTCTATGCAGTGTAGTAGAGTGGTTAATGTCTGAATTTGAATCCTGCCTCTGCCAATTACTGTGAGAACTTGGGTAAATTACTTAACCTCTCTGTTCCCCTGTTCCATAATCTGTAAAATGGGAACAATAGTAACTAATAGGGACTGTTTTGAGGATTAAACAAAATGATATACTTAGAGTACTTATAACAGTGCCTGGCACAGAGTAAGTACTATTTAAGTGATAATGATAATAATCATTTCTTACATACATATATACACATATACATATATTAAAAATATGAATATGTAAAAATATGAATATATTTTAATATAAATGGGATACTTTTCTGCATCTTGCTTTAGTAACTTAACATGTTGGATATCTTTCCATGTCAGTGTGTACAGATTCACCACATTCTTTTGATGATTGCATGCCATATACCATATGAGAGCATTAAAAACACTCATTTAACCTTTCCTATATTGATTGACATGTAAGTTGTTTCCATGGCTTTTACTAACAATACTCGTAGCTAAATCCTTCATCATGGTGTCAGTCCTCTATGAGTTTGTGTGACAAGCATGCTGGAAGACCTGTGAGGGTATTTGGAATCTAGTAGGTGTATCACCAAGTAGTAAAATAGTGGGCATTGCAGAAGACTTTTTGTTGGTTCCTCTGCATCTCCTTCTGAAGAAATTACCTTAGAAACCTGTGGCTGCCATGGCCTAGGGACCCTGGATTATATTCATAAGGAGAAGGATCCTCATGCTGTGAAGCTGTTTGGGGGGATAATTTTAGAATCTCCTCAGCAAGAGGTCCCAACAACTCCTGAAAAGCTCAGCTTGACCTTGCGTTTCCCTGTGTTTCAGATCAGTGCTGAGTCCCTGACTGGCTTGTCATCACACAAAGGCGAGTTGGTGGTTTCATTGAAATACATCCCAGCCTCCAAACTCCCTGTTGGAGGTGACCGGAAAAAGAGTGAGTTTTCTTTGGGGCCCTGGGTGTAGCCCTTATCTTCTGTAAAGGATCTGTATGAGGTGGCTACCACTGTTGGAGAGACCAGATTGAGATGAGCCCTGGATCATCTTCTAGGGAAGATTCATTTACTTACTAAGTAAGCCTTTTCTGCATTTTTAACCAGAAGGGAATGCCTCAGGGTTAGCATTTAATTTTTTAGGTTATTAAACTAACTTGGTCTTGGTCCAGCTATGGCAAGCTACTAAGAGGGCAGCACAGAACAGAAACCTTGGGGCTTAGAAAGGATGGTTGGAAGGGGTGGTGAAGAATGAGGGACAGGAAGTTGAAGGCTGAGGAAGAGTGAATCAACATACCAGCCACTGTGCTAGTGACTATGGATATGTAGATGAATGAGACATGATATTTGCTTGAGACATGATATAAGCTTCCCCTTGAGAAGCTTAGTTTAGCAAGAAAGACAGTCATATGCAAAAAGAATACAGATGCAGGAATGATAAATTCTTTCTGGTTAAATTTGGGAGAGCTTTAAAGAGAAAGTAATGATGAAACTGGACTTAAGACTTTATCAGGCAGAAAAGGAAGAGGATAGGGTGAGAAGAGCATTTCCAGAAGAGAAAATAACATGATCATGGTAAATGTGGGGTGTATGTGAGTGTGAAGGAATGAAGTCCTTTTTTCAGTGGGGCTGGAGTTATAGGATATAGATATGGGAGTAGGGCTGGAATTGTTGGTGAGGCTGGAGCCCCACCAAAAAGGACCTTGAACCTAATAGTAAGGAGTTGAAATTTATCTATTGGCAATAGAAACCCAAAGTTCTTAAAAAAGATACCTACATCAAAGTCTCACTATAGGATGTGGGGAATCAATGACATCCCCAAGGAGGTTGTGCAAAATGACTAGAGAAGAGAGGCAAGGATAGAGCCATGGGAAATGTCACCATTATAAAGGTTGAAGAGAGAAAGAAAAGCCAGTGAGATAGGGCGTTATCAGGAGAGAGCAATGCCATGATAGAGATTGAAGAAGGGAGTGGGGCTTGTCAACAGTACTGACATACTACTGGGAGGTCAGGCCCAATGAGGACTGAGAAGACATGGCTTATGGGTGTTAAAGCAGAAACCAGATTTCACTAGAAACTGGGCAGAGTGAATGAGGCAAAAGAAGTAGAGGTACTGAGTGTGGACTCTTTTTTTCAGGATAATTGATGGCAAAAGAAAGGAGGGACATAGAGAATAGCCTGAAAATGAGACAAGGTTGAAAGGCAATTTTCTTTTTAAAATATGTTTTTACAAGGAGAGATGAGATTAGCAGATATTTAGACTGAAGGGAAGGGACCAGTGAAAAAACAGATATTAAAAATGGGAGTTGAAATTGGTGATGCCTGATGAATCCTGTGAAGTGGGAGTAGAATCAAGAACACAGTGGAGGAGTCCTCTTTTTTTAGTCATTCAACTAATATTAGGCAACTTTATTTCTCTAAGGCTCAATTTTCTCATCTATAAAATGAGGACAATAATAGTATTGTTGTAGATAACTAGAGGCCTGGTGCATGAAATTTGTGCATTGGAGGGGGGGGTCCCCTCAGCCCAGCCTGCACCCTCTCCAATCTGGGACCCCTTGGAGTATGTCCAACTGCTGGTTTAGGCCCGATCCCACAGGGATTGCCTGCCTGCCTGTCTGATTGCCCATAACCACTCCCCTACCAGCCTGATCGATGCCTAACTGCTATCCTGCCGGCCTGATTGCCCCCAACTGCCCTCCCCTGCTGGCCTGGTCCCCCCCAACTGCCCTCCCCTGCAGGCCATCTTGTGGCTGCCTGTCTGATTGCCCCTAACCACTCCCCTACCAGCCTGATCGACTCCTAACTGTGACCACATGGGGGCGGCCATCTTGTGTCCACATGGGTGTGGCCATCTTGTGCAAGGGTGTGATGGTCAATTTGCATATTCCCTCTTTATTATATAGGATAGTGTTATTTTAATAATTAAATGCTTAACATAGAATCTGACACACAGCAAGATTTCTATAAGCATTTATTGCTGTTGTTTTTCTTAATTGAGTGTTTATTGCTTACTGTCAGGCACTCTGCTAGGTACTGAGAATCCAGGCCAGGTGCAGTCCAGTTATGGAGCTTGCTGTCTTCAGGAGCAAGGGAAGGAAATGCTATGTAGATAAAGCTCAAGAGAAATCTGGAGGTGTAGGGGCTCACTTATTTGCTATGGCTGACATCCCTTACAGGTAAAGGTGGGGAAGGGGGAGAGCTCCAGGTATGGATCAAAGAAGCCAAGAACCTGACGGCTGCCAAATCAGGAGGGACTTCAGACAGCTTTGTCAAGGGGTGAGTCCCTGGACCAGCATGAAATTAACCAATTTTAGGATAAGAGAGCTAAGGGAGAAGCCCAATTTAACCTTTCTCTGTGGATATTATATTTGTGTGTTCTACCACCTCCAGCAACCAACTTTTTTTCCTGAAATTTATGGCAAAACCACCACTACAACATTTGCACTGGTCTAAGCTCAGTTTGGACTGGATTGTAGTGCTGATTGCCAAAGAGAAGGGTGGTAGACAGATAGGTTTGGCTTTTCCTTTGTTATAGACTTATACTATTAATTAATCCTTAATAATAATAATAAACCTCTGTCCCCTGACAGTTAAGATTTGAGGGCTCATTACTTTGTTCCCTACAATATTTAAGCAATGCTAGCTTTCCCCAAATTATAGATCACCCCCTGAATTAAGTTCTCAAGTAAATCATGTTTGGCTATGTCAATAGTTACTAACATTGGTTTTATTTAAAGAGGACCTAGCCCAAAAGAAATGTAACCAAATATTTAAAACCCATTTTTAATATAATATAATATTTTAAATAGAATAACATTATATTACTTTTCTTTTTTAAAAAAAATATATTTTATTGATTTTTTACAGAGAGGAAGGGAGAGAGACAGAGAGCCAGAAACATCAATGAGAGAGAAACATCGATCAGCTGCCTCCTGCACATCTCCCACTGGGGATGTGCCCACAACCCAGGCACATGCCCCTGACTGGAATCGAACCTGGGACCCTTCAGTCTGCAGGCCGACACTCCATCCACTGAGCCAACCCGGTTTCAGCTACTTTTCTCTCCTGGTTGAAGGAATTGAATCAGATGAATGATCTAGTGGGGTTAGTAGGAACTCTGCTTCAGATTCAAAGTTAGGAATATTTATATTAGGATTTGAGAGTTTGCACACATCCCTGGGCTAGGCCTGTAGTAGTGGAAAGGAGAATTTAGATACATATTGCCAGACTTGAGTAGGTTGTTGATTACTCCCCACCCTCTGCCAGATACCTCCTTCCTGTGAGGAACAAGGCCAGTAAGCGTAAAACTCCTGTGATGAAGAAGACCCTGAATCCCCACTACAACCATACATTTGTCTACAATGGTGTGAGGCTGGAAGATCTACAACACATGTGCCTGGAACTGACTGTGTGGGACCGGGAGCCCCTGGCCAGCAATGACTTCCTGGGAGGGGTCAGGCTGGGTGTTGGCACTGGTGAGAGCTTCTCCCCTTCCTCACTATCTTAAAGGCCTTTCGTACATTTCACTCCCGATATAACTAACTTCCTCTCTACAAAGCTTCTTTATGACAGGAGTTTTCTTCTTTTCTTTGAGTTAATGTTCAACCAATATTTATTGAGTACCTACTACATGCAGGCCTAGAGGAATACAGCTCATGTACTCTTTCTTATGTGTACAGATAAATGTGACCCTGATTGCCAGGAACACCATCATCTTCCCACCAAAAAAAAAAATCTGAAAACCTACTTATATCTGTACCTATAATTTCCATCTTCCATCCTGTCATAATGAAAGAAGGGCCCTTTCTAGCAAAGGTCAATCTTTTTCCAAATGTTCTGAATCATATCCTCACCTCTCAATGACCTCACTTCTGGAATCTCCTATCTCTCCTGACTGATCAGTTTCATTCTCTCTGCCTCTCTACTGGAGGTGAAAACAGATATGCTCTGGTATTTCTGATTTTGAAAAACATAAATAAACCTTCGCTTGATCCTACAACTCCCTTCTAACTTATTAAAAATAATTATCTCCACTCCCTCCCCTCTTTAGTCTTCAATCCACTGTGAGCTGACTTCTGTTCCACTACTCCACTGAGCAATTGCTTCTGCCAAAGTTTTGTTTTACTCTTACTAGAATTTTAAGTGCTATCCAACATAGCTGATCACTTCCTTTTTCTTGAAATACTTAGCTTTTAATCAAGACATTATACTCCCTTTTAACTCACTGCTAACCTTCTCAATGTTCTTTGTAGTTTCCTCATTCTATACACAAACTCTAAATGTTGGTGTTTCTTAAGGCATAGTCTTAGATCCTTTTCTTTTCTCTATAGTCTCTGCATTCCCGTGGCCTTAAATAGTAATTGTATATTAATAACTCATACAAAGCATTTAACACAAAGCATCTAGGATGATGTTTTTACAAATATAAGCCAATTCATGTCAGTTCCTGCTTAAAAACCTTCAGTGGCTTCCTATTGCACTTAGAACAAAGTTCTCAGCATGCCTACAGGCCCCATATGATCTAGACCTTCTCTGTTGCTTTATGATCCATCTCTGCATCTCTCCTGCTTACTCACTATGCTCCAACCACAATAACTTTCTTTCTGTTCTCCAAATATATCAATCTTATTTCCACTTTATAACCTAAGCAATTAGTGTTCTCCCTGTCTGGAAAGGCTGGCCCTTCCTATCCTTCAGATCTTGACTCAAGTATCTCCTTTTCATAGAGGCCCTCAGACCACTCCATCTAAAGGATGTCCTGCTCTAGGCACTACAAATCACCTGGTTTACTAACTTCATGACATTTACCTCATTATCTGAATTACTTTTGTTGATTTACTTGGATATTTTCTGTCTTTCCTATTCAAATGTAAGCCACCTACAGGCAGGACTTTTTCTGCTTTGTTCATCACTATATTCCCTAGAGCCTAGAAGAGTACTGGCAAACAGTCGGCACTCAATAAATGTTTATTGAATGAATGTACAAGAGAATAGGAATGAGGCCATGTACAATCCTAACTTTGGGCCTGGAGTTTACAGCTAGAGAAAAAAGGTGTTCAGCTTCTTTATTTAAAAAAAACACACAACACCACACAAAACATTTAAGTCAAGTTGGCAATACCAGAAGGGCAATAGCTCTGGCATGAGGTGAGTTGTCAGACACCAGAGCTCCACACAAGCCTCAAAATAAGAGGGTTCTAACTATTGGGGTCCCAGTTGGAGTCCCATTTCATTAATCAGAAGCCTCTTGACAGAGTATCAGGAATAGAATCATCGGGGAATACTTCCCAGACTGCTGTCCCTATTAGCCCATCTACATAGCACACTGTCATTTATGGGGTGGCTGGCTATCCTTGTAAGCCCATCTTTTCTGGTGAGCTAAGGGGTGGGATCCCTGTTCAGGCTCCTCTGGTGTTTCTTTTCAGGGATCAGTAATGGGGAAGTGGTGGACTGGATGGACTCGACTGGGGAAGAAGTGAGCTTGTGGCAGAAGATGCGACAGTACCCAGGGTCTTGGGCAGAAGGGACTCTGCAACTTCGTTCCTCGATGGCCAAGCAGAAGCCGGTTTATGAGTTGGCCAGAGAAAGTCAGAGGAAGTGAAGAAACCAAGAGTAAAGATTTATAATTTAATATGTATGTTATGTCTATGTGTATACAAATATGTATTTCTATAAATCTCACTATACTAGACTTGCTCCCCTTTTGAAAACAGGTTCAAGAATAAGGGTATCTTTAATGTTTTTATTTGTGCAGAAGCGAGTATACTTACAAAGTCCATTCTTATATCTCTGAGTTTTAATTAACTTCTAAAATGTTTTAAAATAACTTTTTATCTCCTGTCTTACTATCCTTGTTCCTACTTCCCTAGGAAGCCCTGGCTGCCTCTGGCATTAGTAAGAATCTATGTTTAAATGTGTTCCTGGTCTGAGGTCAAGGATCTGGGAAGCAGGGTTGGGTTACTAAAGACAGGAGAAGATGGTAGAAAGGTGAGTAGGTCCTCTCCTTCCTCTCTAATTTATGCTTTTAATGCCTTTTTCTACCTTGACAAATTTCTAGAACTTTGCTTTTAACTCCTCTTGTTTTTTAAGCAGTTTCCACCTTGCTTGAGTCTAATGGTTTTTGTGAAATGGTAAGAAAATTATTCAGTTCCTTCTGGTTCTAGATACCTTCACTATACCTTATAATGGGGCTGCTTTTAAAAAAGCACTTTAATTAAATAATAGCCTTTAGACCAAGTCATGGACATGATGGACATGAGCAGCAAGTAGTTCTTGGTGGTTCCAGAGGACCAGAGTGACTGAGGCTGAAGTGTCTTCCAGTCTGTGTTGAATTCTTTGCATTTAAACTGTTACAGTGGTTGTTGGAGAGCTCATTTCTCTAATGAAAGGCAAGACATCTTCATTCTCAACATGCACCACATCTTTCTTAGTGTTTGTGTCCACAATGTATTACCACACAGAATATGGTCTACATATCATTTTCTCCACCAGAATAGCCAAGTACTCTGTAAACTGGTCCAGTGTTTCTCCAGGCTGGGCACAGTTAGTGCTCCGAGATAATGTATTCTGACTTCTTTCTTGAAATGGTTTCAGATCTTATTTTTTTTCTATTGTTTCCTAATCTTGACCTAGATGTAAGATGTAACAGGGGAGTGATATGTTGAGACCTTTCTAAGAAGGATTTTAATGAGCTAAGGTTCGTTTTCTAAAACTTACTGTTCCAAACTGACCTTTTTATTCTTCCATGTGTATCTACACAGTCATTTGTGAAAGAAGTCTATACCGGAGAAGAAATACCCGTCAGGGTAGTCATGTGCTCACTCACTGACTCTCCTATATCTGTGAACTGAATGGAGGAGTGTTTTTAAAAGGTTTATTTGGTGTGGGTTGATATTGTAATGGAAGGCAAACTTGGGATACTGTGCTGTAACTTGCTCCTTTGTCCTCCACCCCCTGAAATATACTTGTTCTTCAATAAAGTGTTCTCACTTGTTAAGTGTTTGCATTTGTTGGTTCTATAGATGCTTTTGTCTTTATGTCCTGACTTCCTGTTGTTGCTTTTCATGTGGCTTTAAGGATAAGGATAAGGACAAATGCCCTTCCCTAACCCTTGTGTACAGATTCATAGAAAATTTCCCTTTCCCCACATTGCTTCCCGATGCCTCCACTGAGCTCTGATCCATTGTATGTACGGAAAGAACTGAGAAGCCATCTTAAAAGTGGTACCACTTTTCTCTCTCTCAAGTACCAAGAGAACTCCCCCTTTAGCTTTGTGCCCGCCCAACCACATGCTGGAGGGGTGTACACAGGGGAGATGTTCCAAGCTGTGTTTCTTTCTTTCTTTTTTTTATTTTGTTTTATTGCTTAAAGTATTACAAAGAGTATTACATATGTCTCCTTTTTTTTCTCCCCTTGACCTTCCCCCGGCCTCCCCTACCCCCCTTATATGCATGCATACAAGTCCTTCGGTTGATCTCTTACTCCCCTCCCTTCTGCCCCCCAACCCTCTCTGGCCTTCCCACTGCAGTTTGACAATCAGTTTGAGGCAGCTCTGCCTCTGTATCTATTATTGTTCAAAAGTTTGTAATGGTCTTTATTATCCATGAATGAGTGAGATCATGTGGTATTTTTCTTTCATTGACTGGCTTATTTCACTTAGCATAATGCTCTCCAGTTCCATCCATGCTGTTGCAAATGGTAAGAATTCCTTCTTTTTTACAGCAGCATAGTATTCCATCGTGTAGATGTACCACAGTTTTCTAATCCATTCATCTGCTGTGGGCACTAGGCTATTTCCAAATACTTCACTAGGAGGTATAGAGCCTTTTTCCTTCACTCCTACTACTATTATTTTGTTTTGAGAGATAAATAACACATATGCTAAGTAACCCATCTGAGAAATAAAGCTCTGGGTTTCTAGGTAGGTCCAAGTGACTTTTGACCTCTTGTGTAAAAAGGGCATCTATAATAATAAAAGCATAATATGCAAATCAACCGAACAGCAGAACGACCGTCCAGATGACTGTCTGGATGACCTGGACGACCACACTATGACACACACTGGCGCCAAGCCAGCCAAGGCAGGTGTGATGCGATTGGTCGGGGGCCTGGCCATCACCCCATGATCGCCCTGCAGAGGGAGGCCCAGGCCACTGACCAGCAGGCTGCGGCAGGTGGGCAGGGCCTACCTCTTTGGGGTGATCTATCGATCGTGGGGCTCCCAAACTGTGAGAGGGCACAGGCCAGGCTGAGGGATCCTCCCCCCATGCATGATTTTGTGCACCAGACCTCTAGTTAGTATATGTTTAATAACTTCTGTGTACAAGGCTTTATGCTAGATATATTACATATTATTGCTTTAATTTCTCCAAGAACCTTATGAAGTAGGAAAATTTACCTTTTTACAGAGGAAAGTCAAGGCAAGAGTTAGTATTTGAATCAAGGTCTGACTCTATACTACCATGCTGCTTCCTGCAAGGATGAAGATTCCAAGGAAGGAATGCTTCCTCTCTTCTAAAATATCCCAAAGAAATAAGTTTAGTTTACAAAATAGGACAATCAGAATGCTTTGGAAGTTACCTAGCCAGCTGACAGACTGAATAGTTAGGAGGAGAGTGGCAGAGAAGGAAACAGAGAAGAACAGAAGCAGAGGTATGGACAGGGTCAGGGTGGAGCTAGCCCCTTGGGGTCTGGCAGTGGGCCTAATTCTGCTCTCTTCTTTCCCTACTTAAAAAACTGAGATTTCATCAATCATAATTCAAAGGAGGTTACAGTGAAACTACCTAAAGAAAGCAAGACTGACTTGCCTTAATTATTGTAAAATAAAACAAAAACTTCAATTTTTTAAAGCACTTATATATGAGAGTCAGGCCCACATGGGAACTCTGTTCAGGAGGCAGTATGTTATCATTGGGTCTTTGACTACTCGTATGCCCTGGCTTGCCACTTGGCATCCTATATAATAAAGAGGGAATATACAAATTGACTGTCACTTCGCCACAAAGATGGTGGTGCCTACAGCAGAGGCGGGGGATTCTGTAACACAAGATGGCTGCACCCACAGCGAAGGCAGAGTTCCCGTAATGAGCCTTAACAAGCAATCAGCAGGGACCTGAGGCTGCGCCCCCCCCCCCGCCCCCGTGGGGCTTTACAGGGGACCTCAGGCTGTGCCCTCAACTCTGGCACCAGGCCAGGGGACCTCAGGCCACACACCCCCACCTGGCAGGGCTTGACAGGGGACCTCAGGCTATGCCCCCCGCCCCAGCACCGGGCCAGGGGACCTGAGGCCTCACCCCCTGCCCCAGCGCCGGGCCAGGGGATCTGAGGCTGCGCCTCCGTCTGGTGGGGCTTGACAGGGGACCTCAGGCCACACCCCCTGCCCGGCGGGGCTTGACAGGGGACCTCAAGGTGCGCCCCCCCACCCCAGTGCTGGGCCAGGGGACCTCAGGCTGCTCCCCTAGCCCTGGGCTGGGGGACCTCAGGCCATGTCTCCTGCCCAGCGGGGCTTGACAGGGGACCTAAGGCTGCTCCCCCCTCCTGGTGGGGCTTGGTGGGGGACCTGAGGCTGCACCCCCTGCCTGGCGGAGCTTGACGGGGGACCTCAAGGCGTGCCTCCCTGCCCTGGCCTGGGTTGGGGGACCTCAAGCCACATCCCCCACCCTGGTACCGGGCCAGGGGGCCTGAGGCTGTGCCCCCCGCCCAGCGGGGCTTAACAAGGGTGGGATCGGCCAGGTCTGGATCTAGCCAATGGTGGGGCAGGCCGGCCGGGTCTGTGTCTCATGCAATTTTGAGGCACATGTGGGTGGGCGGAAACTTGACTTTGGGTCCCATGGTGTGCCCCAGACTCTGACAGGAGGAAGATTTTCATATACATTTTACTAATTTTCTTTCATCTTTGACGCTTCTATTATAGAGAAAGGGCAAATAGCAATATTAAAATATTTCCTCTAATTAATCCCCTTTTAATGTGCACAAATTTCATGCACCAGGCCACTAGTATTAATGATAAAGGTAAGGAAGGGCATTCATTTTCCTTTAGAATCATAGACTCTGTCTGACTGGAGACTTCCGACATTAACTCATCGTATTTTTCCTTTTGCTCATAACTTGCCTCCTGCCTTTCACAACTCCTATACTTCCCTGGAGGGAAGAGGAAGAAAGGGACCTTTTTGGTCCAAGTTTGATAATTTCTTCCATGTCTAATTCCACTCAGCAACTGCCTAACTTTTGATTTTGCATTTTTAAAAGAAGATTTCCACTAAATTTCCCACCCCCAATAGAAACAGCATTTCTATGACTTATCACTGCCCTCACATGTTCTGGGCTCATGATTTATGTCCCATTGCCCTGCTTTGGGAAATGAATTTTCACAACTTAAGAGCCTTTCATATCCCTCTCCTCCTGGGTCCACTCTGAAGTCTTGTGTCTGAGCAAGATTATATGTAGAAGGTGAAATATTTCTCCTTGCTTAGAGCTGTCAGCTGTCTTTAAATGAAAAGTAGAAAAAGAGGTAGAGGCAGTATAGCATAATGTTTAAGAACATTGACTCTGGAGCCAGAATACTGTTGTCTAAATCCTGACTCTGCCACTACTAGCTGTCTGGTCTTAGGCAAGTTGCCCAACTTCTCTGTGCTTCAGTTTCCTCATCTGAAAAATGGGAATAATAATCGTGCCTATCTTATAAGTTTCTTGTGAACATTTCAGAGTCAATCAATAGAATGTTTAGAATGGCACCTGGCATATAGTGAATGCTTGAACATTATAAGCTCTGCCTCTCTACCCAGCCTGATTCCTTTTCTCCTCTAATTTTTCACTGATGACCCCCTGGGTAGAGCTAAATCAGAAAGTGTGCTGGGTAATCTTAACCATGATACTGGGTCCCTTCCATGAGTGTGGAACAGAAGGTCCTCTGCAGCACAGAGAAGAACACTTTTCTTTAAAACACTGACAGACTGAAGCCAGAGCAGGGGTCTGAGTATAGCCCCACTTCCCAATAGCCCTGCCTTAAATTTACTGTCATGCCTGGCCCTTAAGGCTAGACTTTGAGCTGCTGTAGCTCCCACCTGCTCTATGCTCATCTCTTAAAAGTGATTATCTGATGAACTTAATAAATTAGGCTATCTTTTTTTTTTTTGCCTTTTCTATTGTTTAGTTTTACTGAGACTTGCAGTGGTGCTTTCAAGTGTTCCTAGATCATGAGCTTGGAGCTCCTCTGATGAAGGGACAGCTTTGACTACCTTTTACTATGGGACTGGAGGCTCAGTAAGAAGAGATTGAAGGGGCCAAAGAAAGCATTCTGCTCTGGCCTGATTTTTCTTCCTAAGCTCCCACACACAGTAGCATTTTCCCAACTCTTAGATGAAGCAATGGTAAACATAGCACTTGTAGACTAATGCCCTAAAAGGTGAAATGATAAGTCCAAGAATGTTTTGAAGCTTCCCCCACCACCAATGACACAGTTAACCTGTGAGGAAAATTCAGCTACACTTGCTAAGGTGTCCTGTTTGTTGTGATGGTGCTGCCCTCTGCTGTCACCTCAGGGTAGAGGAACCATTTAAAACACGGTTGGTTATTGGTGATCCCATCCAGAGACATGTTTGTTTTGGGGGCAGTGTACCAACAACAAGGAATGACATTCCACAGACAAGCTAAATTGGCATTCAAGAGCCAGGCTCCTGGCTTTGAGTTCAAGATGATGGAGTAGGAAGATCCTGAGCTTACCTCCTCTCATTGACACAAAAACTACAACTACATATAGAACTGCTATCTCTGACAATGGCCTGAAGACTAGCAGAAAAGATTTTCTACAACTACGGATATAAAGAAAAAGGCACATTGAAATGAGTAGGAGGGGTACAGTCTAAGTCTAGTCACGACCTATCCTATCCTCCACTCTCCATGTGGTGACTCACAAGTGGGAGGGGTATCACAACAGTGGAGGTTGTCCTAGAAGAGTGAGGGGTCCAAGCCCTAGCCTAAGAACTGCACTAAGAAAAGTAACC